GAAAAAACTCAGACCTAAATAATACGATTGAATATCTCTATTACCAGTAATTAAAATAATTATTAGTGTATCATGCTGCACAGTCCTGATGCCTAATGTTTCTACTTAGTTGCAGAGAATGTAATCAAACAAAAGAAACACTATCTAGTGAAGAATGCTGGATATGCTCGACTCACAGTCTCTCATGTTAGTGAAAAGGTAAGGTGTGATGCTGACAATGTGAAGATAGTCCTGGACCCATCTTTCTGTGAAGTCTTTCCCATGTAAGGAGATACAAAGTGCTCTTACCCCATGACTTTTAGGAAAGGAAATACAAACTCCCTAACATGAGTCAGTGTTCAAGGCCAAATCTATTTATTGAAATTTTGGTGATTAGCTCATCTGTTTTTTGCTTTGTTTTGTTTTGTTTTGAGAGAGAAAGAGAGAATAAGATGAGCATCCTCAACAGGGTCTCTTTGTGCAGTCTCCCTGTTTTCCAGCCAACCAGGATCATGGGTGCATGTGCCAGGTGTGTAGAGGTGGACGAGGGAACTGAACCCATGACCCTCCATTTGGGTTCAGCTTCAACTGAGCATCACAGCCTGCTTATCTGTTTTATGTTTCTGTGTGTTTCACTTGATGCTTTCAAAGTGCTTCTGAGTTTTTATGCTGTCATGAATGATGTCGGATACCTACCTAGGGAGTTATTTTGATTAAAAAAATTAAGAATGAACGTTAAAAAGGAGTTATTTGACCACTGTTTTGGCTGCATGGTGAGGGGCTATGAATCCCAAATCCAACAACATTGGATCCCTTTGCTGGGCTGCTCTGGTACAAGAAGTCAAGAAGTCAAGGCTATGCAGCTGAGACCTGATTTATGGCCATCACTGCCAAATCAAGAAACCGGTGGAAAAATAATATTGCAGCTTCACTCTCCATAGTCAGAGTATAGTAGCAAAAGATACAGAATTTCCAGACATGAAAATGACTATAGTCACATAATGTATAGCATTTACAGACAGAGAGACCACATTCACATAACTTTTATTACTGTAATTGTTATAATTCTTTTAATTTAATATTTAAAAAATTATAAAGATTTTTTTTGTCACAGGGCACATGAACTTGTCAGAGAGAGAAAGTGAGACATCACCCCCTGGAGGGATGGACGGCCATGCTGCAGTCCCTTCTCTTCCATTCTCCTCTCGGGATTTTGGGCACACATGCATATACATGTGCCTGACGTGTTTCTCAAGGCACTGGGTCTGGGACTACTTTAGCATAGATATTTGTGTGTAGGAAGGCACATAGGGTGTGAAGGGTTTGGGTCTGTCTGCAGCTTCAGGCATTCACGGGAGTCTTGGAACATGTCTCCATGGGTAAGCAGGGGAGGCATGTGTGTTTATATAGTCTACTCTCTAAGCAGTTCTCTTTCAATTTCTCTCTTTTTAATTTCAGGTATTTAGCTCTGTAACTGCTGTTCTTGATCTTTCCATATTTTGGAGTCAAGTTATTCTGGAAAGCCTAGTAAAGGACCTGAAAAAGAAAATTCCAACTTTAAGCTTCAGTCGTTTGGAACACAATGGGAGAATCTCTGTGAAAGGATCATTTCTGGCTATCAAGAAGCTCAAAGAAACTTTGCAACTGAAAGCAAATTCTCTTTTAGAAAAAAACAGGAATTGTATCAGTGAGGAGAGAGAGTGGAATAGACAAAGTCTCCAAAGGGGTGCACAAAGAAGGAGCAATGCTTCGGAGTCGCTCAGGGCCTTGACACCTGAAACTGCAGAATGCGAAGAAATGCTTGTGCTCGACACAGATGTTTTCTCTTACCTGAAACAGAAGTGTGGGTTTTATGAAGACACGCTGCACAAATTTCACATCCTAAGTCAGGAGAGGGCGGATGGTGAAATCACCACCGTTTGTCTGAAAAATGCACAAGCTGGTTCTCAGCCACACAATGTGAAACACGTGAAAGAGCTCCTTGAGGAATGGGCTCGTGCTCTTCACTTTGAGCTTAGAAAAGAGACATTTATTTTGGGAGGAAAGGGAGAGAAAGAGAAAAGAAATATTGAACAGGCGTGTAAACAAGTAAGTTCGAGATACCTTAGGGTTCTTGTTAGCATTTATCGGACACACATTGACATTATAGGATCTTCTTCTGACACTTACCAGTTTAAAAAAGAGGTCATGAAATTAGTGGGGCAAAAGGTAAGCTAAAATGTCAGCTCTAGTGATGGTAATGGCTGCTTTTTCTTACTGAGCAGTGGCTACACCTTACACACAATCTCATTTAATCCGTGTGACTATCCTTTATTGTTGTTACCATCCTCATGCTACAGAGGAGAAAAGTAGGATTTGGAGAAGTTAAAGCATTTGACTGAAGTTATCTAACTGGGCTTTAACCCAGTCTATCTGATTACAAAGATAGTATCTAAAGGGAGTAGCAGATGGCGTAATGGTTATGTTGCTTGCTGGACTCCCACATGATCAACCGTGGTTCAAGTCCCAGACCTGGTAGCTTGAAACCCACACCAGGCATGTGCGCATGTGTGCATGCCCAAAATCCTGAGAAGAGACTGGAGGAGAAGGAATTGTTGTGAGACCATTCCCCTTGGGGGGTCATTTCTCGCTTCCTGTCTCTGTCTTTCTCTGTCTCTCCAGTGAACGCATGTACCTTATAGCAAAAAAAAAAACAAACCAAAAACCAAAACAAAAAAAAACAAAAAACCCACAAAAAAACAAAACACCAAAACCAAAACATACAAAGTTTTTCTCTAAAAAACAAAAAAAAGATAATATGTAAGATAGAAAACTTTGAAAAGAACTCACTAGACTTTGAGGAAGTCTCACTTTCTCTGTAACTTCACATTATCAGAAAAAAAAAAGACTTAATCAGGGTCAGATGGTGGCACAGTGTGAGACACAATGCTTTGCAAGTCTGATCCACATGGGAAGGTTCCAGCCGTATGTGGAGAGTCCCCTTAATACCCTGGGCATGTATGTGCCCATGATTCGGTACTGGTGGAAGCTGGGAGAGGGTTGTGGGGTCAAGATCCTGCTGGGGGTCTGTCTCTGTCTGTCTACTGGTCACTCTCACTCATGGGAGAAATAAATAAAAAATAATCTTAAGAAAAAGGTTCTTTCATTTTAATATGTGAGAAGTCTGAATGAGTATTGTTATGCCACTGACCGTTCCTTAGCATTTACAAAGTTTATGCTTATTTCATAAAGAATTAGAATGCTGGTATAAATCACTTGCCAAACTATTAGGTCTTTGGAAAAGTCATGACCCATTTTTGCAAAGGAAAACAGAAAAATACGTTACAACTTTTCTGACGACCCAGTAGATAACACGTCTTTCTGATATAGGTGATCATTAGTTGACCAGACTCCACTGTTGCAAACCCGCTGGGATATCTTTATTGTTACCATTATCCCTCAGTATCCATGGGGGCATGATTCTAGGACCCTCATGTGTACCAAAATCTGAGGATGATCAACGTTCTTATGGAAAATGGTGTAGTATTTGGTTATAACCTAGGCACATCCCCCATATACCTTATTTTTTTTTATTAATTTATAAAATTTGTCAGAGAGTGTATGCTCTTGCCAGAGAGAGACAGAATGAGAGGGAGAAGAGGAAAACAATTCCTGACAGGGTGTGGGCAGGCCACAATCCCGTCTCCATTTCTGCATCCTTTTGAGATTTTAGGCACATACACATCTCGCCTGCTTTCAAGCTACTAGGTCCAGGACTTCAGCCACATGGCATCTGGCTGCCTTAACTAGTAGCTCATTGGCTCCCCCTCGTCTTCTTTACATTATTTCTAGATTACTTATCATACCTGATACAACGTAAATGTTATGTGAATCGTTGTTATACTTTTTTTATTTTATTTTTTGTTGTATTTTTTAACTTGAATGTTGAATGTTTTCTTTGAATATTTTTGATCCATAGTTGGTTGAATCCACAGATGCAGAACTTGTATCTTTAGCTTAAGTGCTTACATAAAATGTTGATTTTCCAGGCCGGCCAGGTAGTGCAGAGGTTAAGGTGGCTGGGTCACACCAGGCACGTGTGCATGTGTGCCCGAATCCCTGGAGGAAAAGGGATTGCACTGTGGCTATACCTCCTCAGGGTTGATTTCTCACTTTCTCTAGGGAGTGATGTACCCTAGAGCAAAAATTAAAAAAAAAACAAAACTTGGGAACCAGCAGTTAGCGTAATGGCTATGTCGCTGGACTCCCACATAGTCGACCGCGGTTCGCGTCCCGGACCCGGTGGCTTAAAACTCACGCCGGGTGCGTGTGCGTGCGTGCCCAAGATCCCGAGAGGAGAATGGAGGAGAAGGGATTGCGGCGTGACCATCCCCCCTGGGGGGTGATTTCTCGCTTTCTGTCTCTATGTCTCTCTCTGTCTGTCTGGCGAGCGCACGCGCCCTACAGCGAAAATCTCTCAAAAAAAAAAAAAAAAAAAAAAACTTAATTCTTTTAGGTCAGCCCTTGTAGCCTAGTTAATGGAACTGGATCCTACCAGGCTGACTGTAGTTCAAATCCCAGCCCCATTGGCTTGAAAAACACCCAGGGCTGTGTGAGTGCATGCTTACTCATTTCTGATATGAGAAATGGAAGATAAGGGACTATGATGGGGCCATGCTCCATTGGGGGTGTTTGGTCCTCTCTCTCTCCCTTTTTGGCAAGTGCATGTGCCCTTTGTCAATAAAATAAGAAATGCTGATTCTCCTATTATGAGACATTTTAAAGAAAATCTCTAAGATTGCAATTATTCTTATTAACCATGATCTTACTTTTCAAATGCTGTTACTTTAACAATACAGCTATAAAATAAGGGAGGAAAAATTTTCAAAATTTCTTTCAAAGTATACAGTGCCCCTGAATTTAACTTCTGGTGAAACCAGTTGTAATATCTAAACATTGTGGAAACCACCCTAATTTAACAAAAATAAAACACATTCTGTTCACCCTAATGTAAGCAGACATGATGATTATTTGAACTTGTATCAGTAGAAAGAAATTTGAAAAAAATATATATGCTTTGATTTTCTTAGCCATCTGAAGCCCAGAAGTCTTAGTTTGCTATTGGGTTGCTAACAGAAATACCCGAGATGGTAATTTATAAAGAAGAGAGGCTACTAGATCCCACATGGGTGACTGCACAGTTTGAGTCCTGGGCCTGGCAACTTAAAGAACACACCAAGCACATGTGTGTGCATGCTCAAAATTCTGAGAGAATGAAGGAGGAGGGACTGTGGCATGGCCATCTCCCTTTGGGGGGCTACTTTATCCCACTCTCCCCCAGCAAGGGCATACGACCTATAGCAAAAACCAAACCCAAACAAAACAAAACAACCCTCCACTCACAACAACAACAAAATTAAATAAAAGAGGTTTATTTGGCTTATGATTCTGGGAAGTCTGAAGGTGGAGGGGCTGGCATCGGGCTGGCTAGGTCACAACATAGCCGACAGAAGCAGAGGAGGGTGGCGGGTGTGTGCAGAGAGACCTGGGTGCAGTCACATTCCTTTATAACAACCTGTTCACGTGAGGGCTATTTCTTATGAAAACTAGAACTCATTGGTCTTGCAAAACAGTATTAATCCATTGATGAATGGGATGCCTCCGTGATCCAATTACCAATCACAAAGCCTCACCTTCTAATGGTCTCATTGTCTTCCAATGCCATTGCACTGGGTTCACGTTTCAAGGCATGAACCTTTGAGGGGCACAATGGTCAAATGATAGTACCAAATGTGTAAGTTATTGCCATTTCCTTAAGTAGTGTGTTTCTGACATTAAAAGCGTGTTTAACAAAAAATTAAAAAAAACTATGCAGTAAGTGACTTCACATAGGGAGTGGAAAGATAAAATGTAAGGTGTCAATCTGAAATGAAAACTGTCTGACCCAAACTTGTCAAATAAGCCAGCAAAGGTTGATTCATGAGGACTGCTCCTGGGGAAGGAGAAGCTTCAGGAAGTCTGTAACCGTGGTCCCCAGGATGGGATGATGTATAGTAGCTTTATGGAAAAGGAGGAGGACAGGAGATTGGGTGAAGGTCATAGGTTGCTTTCCATGAATTCACATCGTTTGATATTTTCAACATACACCTTTCATCAGGTAAGTTTTTTCAGAGTTTCCATTTCCTAGCCAACAGGTTTTCGTGACAGCTGGACAATGTTGGTTAGTTTGTAACTTAGCTATGTTCAGTTAGCTTTGGGAAAGCATTGCTGTAATTGTTTAAGAACTCACTGTGTTTAGAGCGATCCTAACTGAAAGTTTCATGGCTGTAGTCCTTTGAAGTCTAGTAAAAATTTTAAAAGCCTTTTAGCTGAATTTTCTTTCTCAAAGGATAGCTTATTTGAAGGAGGTGTGTGGAGGTTGAGAACACCTTGCTTCTGATGTAGACAGAAGTTTATGTTAAATGTTTGACGTTTATTAAAATGCCAACCAAAGACAGCATAACCCTTTTCCTTCTCACAGGCTACCTCTTTGAAGGAAAATCCCACCATTTCCTTCCCTCATGCTATTGGTTGCCAAGCATTTTGGGTTTTGTTTCTACACTAACCCTTGTATTCTTGCCAATTCTCTAATTAGCGTATACTTGGGTTATTGCCATATTCTTCTAACTGGCCTTCCTGACTTGGCTCTACTAACTTCCAGGCCCTTAATTTATCCTGGACACCACTTACCAATTAATGTATCTAAAATTATTAGTGGCATTTGGAATGCTCAAACTGACTGGTGTTACCAGACGAATGTAGAGGCTGGGCCCAATCACTAGTCACACAGTAAGCCAATTTCTGAGACAACAAGAATTTGCTTAGAGGAAGGTTTTATTACAGAAGATACCAGCCAACAGAGAAGTAGAGTCTAAGACCCTTAAAGGAAAAATTTATAAAAGGAAGGGGGGTGCAGCAGGTGTAGTGGTTAAAGCACTGGACTCCCACATGATTGACCACAGTTTGAGTTCTGGACTCGGCGGCTTCACTCATTCTGGGTACGTATGCATGCGTGCCAAAATCCCAAGAGGAGAATGAAGGAGAATGGATTGCAGTGTGGCCATCCTCCCAGGGTGGTTTCTCACTTTCTTTCTCTCTGTGTCTCTGGTGAGTGCACGTGCCCTGTAGCAAAAATCTCTCAAAAAAACCCCAAACCAAAACCAAACCAAAACCAAACAGAAAAAAAGGGCCCCAAACTTAATGCTAAAGTGCTGCTTAGCATTCCTGAGCACAAGATTGTGATGTACCTGACAGAAAATACTGCTGTCCTTCAGTATCCACAAGGGGTTGGTTTTAGTCCCCCTCAACCTTTGTGAAAATAGTTGTTTTTTTTTTAATTTTTTTTTTTTTGAGAGTTTTTTGCTATAGTGCACATGCACTCACCAGAAAGACAGAGAGAGACAGAGAGGCAGAAAGCGAGAAATCACCCCCCCCCCAGGGGGGATGTCCACACCACAATTCCTTCTCCTCCATTCTTCTCTCGGGATCTTGGGCATATATGCACATGCTCCTGGTGTGAGTTTAAGCCACTGGG